AATTTTTTAGTGCAATTATTAATAATTTTATTAATTAAAACTTTAGAATAACTTTATTTTAATATATCATTGTAAAATTTAAAAAAATTTATAATCAATTCAATTCAATTCAATTCAATCAAATATTTGATTTAATTTGATTTGATTTGACAAATATTTGATTTAATTTGATTTGATTCAATAAAATTCAAATTGGTTCAAATTAATTTGATCAAATATTTAAGTTCAATTCAATTTGATTCGATTCGATTTGAAAAAATCAAATCAAATTCAAATATCTTAAATATTTGATTTGATTTGATTTTGAGGAATCCTAATAGAAAATCATAAAAGGATTCGCAATGAAGTTAGGATTGAAGTGTTAGTTATCAAGAAAACAGATTTTGATGCAGTTGCTACTTCCCAGAATCTTAATCCAAAAGAAGCTGAAAATCTTAAGTTTGACTAAGTGCGTTCTATCCCAGATATTATGGCACTTAAACGTTTCTATATGCGAAATATTTATGGTAGTAAAGATATAAATAATAAGATTTGGAATAATCTTTGCAATAAGAAGTTTGTAAAACATTTTAGCCCGTCTGAACCTCAGAAACATTCTTGTATTTATCTTACTTTCGAAAGTAAGGCTATGATGAGAAGAGTGTAATAAAAGGGTTAGAGGCCAAAAATATTGCGCAATAGGAAAATACTCATTATAAAACTAATGAAAATATTGAAAAATCAGTAGCAGAAGACTTGCATAAATCATATTCAGCTAATCATTGGAAGGCTATAAGAGAACTTTTTCAAATACTAGGCTTTACCAATATAGACGATAAGCATATCCTTTCTAGTAATATAATATTAGAATCATTCACACAATCATGTGAAAAGTTTATAGAAATCTGAAATCAGTCTTTATTACTCTTTGGCTTTAAGTCTCGTATAAAAGAAATATCAGATCTTCATTCAGCTATAAAAATAATTAATACAATTGCTGGCAATTGGTGAAGGTATACTGTTAAAAGTGATAAAAAAAAGAATAGGGCCTAAAGGATAACAAGTTAGGCAATACTTATACTGAATCAATCACTGGCCATATAAAGGTCTTGGTTTTAAAGGTAAAGGTATGCCAGAGCTTCCACCATATAGACCAAAAACAGATAATGAGATTCAAGAACTCTTTGATTCTATAAAATAAAACTTCAGATCATTCATTATTCAACCAAGTATCTTGATTATATTAGATAATCCCAAAAGGGTCGATTCTGTTTTAGTTTTTTTACTTTCACGTCAGACATGGTCATAAATTCCACTATGTGTGCTACAGATTCCAATACGAGAATAGGTTTGCTTATTACAGATAGGGCATATTTCTTTAGGACGGACTTTATAATGTTTGTCACATCCTAAAGCATGCCAGCATCCTTTCTCACAAATCGAACTATCTTTCTTGATGTATTGACAGGATAGACGATCCATACGAGGTAATTTTGATATTAATAATCTTAAAACTTCATCTTCACTTTTATTATATATATTCAAAATTCCTTTGCTTTAGCACTCAGGATTGAGGAATTTTTTTCGAATTGAAAAATAAGTAGATTAGTATAACTAGGTAATAATCGCAATCTACTTATCATTGGCATGTCTACTAAAGCAACCACTTCAAAGGCCCAAAAGCCCAAAACTAATAACTTTGTTTCAATTTTAGAACAGTTTCTAGAAAAGTATAATTTGTCAGCTGACTCCACTTTAGAATAATTAAGAGAACATGCTTCAGAACTTAATGTTCAATTGTATGATTGAAAGGCTCGCAAGTGTATTAAAGATCTTCTTACCAAATGCACTGATAAAAGACATACATTTAGCAAAGAGCAGATAGGGGTTCTTGTGTCAGACAAAAGAAAGGAAAAGTTTATCATTGGAAAAAGAGCTTTCTATTGTGCCAAAACTGGCAATAAGTGGGATATTTATATCAATGCTCTTGATTTAGGTCCAAAAAGTAATAATGATAAAGAAACCGTTGCCTCCTGTTCACAGTTCTCACTATTTTGTATCGAATTGGCAAAAGCTGGTATTGCTCAAGAACTTATTGATACTTATACCAAAAATCCAAATATCACTACAACTTCTAACAAAATTCAGAAAGAATAGACTAAGCAAAATTTAGCTGATAATCAATCAAGAACTCCACTACATTTTTCCTTAGCAAATGTGCGTATAAGAATTCAGAATATGAATGTTTCTAAAATTCTAACTCAAGAGAATCTCGCAGATGTGATAGTGATGTTGAATATGAGACCTGCGGAAGTGAGATCTCTTCAGATCAGTCATTATAAAGTTGATCCCACAAATCCTCCAGCATAGTATGTAAACAGTTTTTCCTGGTATTATACTAGATATGTTAAGAATAAAGAAAATATAAGGATAATCTAGAGTCTTGTTCATTTATTTCTATAGAGAAGGATCTAGAATGTGTAAGAATACTACTCATCTGGATTCAAGAAGCTATAAAGCAGTGATGGGTTTTGGACACATTTTTTAGTTTTGGACAAGGTTTTGGACATATGAAATTGTGTCCAAAACCTGTCTAAAACCTGTCCAAAACTACCTAAAATTGTCTAATTTCCCAACATTGCTATAAAGGCTAGAAGGTTGAGTGATCCCGTTTGTAGTGAAAATGAAAAGCGTAATACTAGGGCATTTAGCGAATTCCTGAAGTCTCATAAAATTGAACCTAAAATATTAAAAAAAAATAGGAGGTAAGCATGCTTCCAGAGTTCATAGCGGTTCAAATCCAACTCACCAGCGACTTGGTCTTCTCAATAGAAGAGCATTGAGACATAAGATTATATGTTATGATGCAGGAAAGAATTATGCTATGGGTAATACTGGGTCAGAAGACAATAGTTCTGAATCTAACCATGAATCTGAATCTAATTCTGAGGCAAATGGTTCAAAATCCCAACCTGATCCTCAAAAGTCTCAGATAATAGAAATAGATTTCATGTTAGCTGAAATTGATGCAATGTTAACTGAAATTCGGAAATAAATTTCTCACTTGTAGCTTTGGTACTGTGGGAGATAAGAAGGTGAAACTGTTTTCTGGCTTCGAATTTATGAGAAGGTGAGCTTTTCTCCTGAAGATCTTTGAGCAAAGGAGGGTGATTGTGTACTTTTATTTTTTGATTAAAGTATAGCAGATTCATTAGTATAATGTCAGATGATGAGATGAATGCTGAGACAAAAGAGCGTTACAATGAATTTATTAAAGAATATGGATTGAGATATAAATGGGATAATGAAGGGATTCCTGAATTTATATTAGAGTGGAAAGACTGAGAAGATCTTTTTTGCGAAATCTAAATCTATTAGAAGACAAAGACAATCAGATATTGGAGGGAGAAAACACTTAAACAATTTGTATATAGTCTGCCTGGTGTAAGAAATCCAACATCAATACTTTATACATTTATATAATCTAATGCTTTTTACCTCTTACAAATTTTAAGCCTAATAGAATTATTATGTAATGCTAAAGAACTTCAATGGAAAATATAGCTAGATAGTATAGTTACAGATAAGATTAAAATAGATGACAAAATAAGGTAGATAAGTTCTAATGTGGATTATTACTTCAAGACAAAGACTCAATAGCAGATTATTATTCAAAGATAAAGAGATGTAATAATATTGTCAATCTCTGTAAAAGTCATCTTCAATGTGTATTCTTTGATGAACTGACAACAGAGAATAAAAAGCATATCGCAAAATCTGGATTTTATCATGTTTATGATCTTGATAAAGTGGTAGAAATGCTTATTCGAGCTGAAAAGGAAAATATGTCTTATTTTATTACTGCATTTAGTGATTATCTTAGATAGGCTAGCAATGTTCAAATTTTGACCCAATCTGGATTCTCTAATAATAATTTTATTTCTGCTTTTCTTAATCTGGAATTAACAAGATCCTCTATGGTGAGGTAGTACACTACTGATCTAACTAGTATAGAGCAGTGATCATCAGTTTGGAATATTTTTTGCTGAGTCACAATTGTGCGACAAATAGGCTAATCACATAATAGATTTGTGTGACATTTTCACATATTAATTTTGCATATATGTTTGCTAATCAATACCTCTATCTTTTTCCCCGTACAAACATGAGAAGAAGTCCAGTTGCAATATAGAACCTTCCCTATAAGTTAATAGTGATGGCAAAAGCATATGTTATAAAAGGCTGATGGACTCACAATTCTGAGATCGCCAGGCGTAAAGCTAACTATATGTCTTTTCAGTAGATCTACATGTAAAAAGGTATGAATATTCCGTTTACATGTGCTTTCAAGATATTCTTAGCGTCAGACGAAAATACTAATCACTTTTCTTATCTCTTTTTTTTAGCAGAATATAAAGCATGTAGCAATATGTGAAAGTTCTCGTCCACTAACTTTCCATAAAATTTATAAGGTACGTATATGTCAGAAATTATGTATATATGGGAATAAAAATTTCTCACTATAGGACATTGTATTTAGGAAAACAAGATATCTTCCTGGGCTGAAACGATAAAACTATGGGAAACTGAAAGACTTATCAGCTTTTTAAGGAGTGATTCAAAATTAGAAGGCTTAAAACTTGACGATAATTTTTTTACAAAACTTCGTGATGAAAATATCACTGGTAATTTATTTTTCAGACTAACAGAATGGGATTTAAAGGAATACAGAATGACATTAAGACAGGCATTAGAACTTGAGAACTACATTAATGAACTGTGTGAGTAATTAAATGTTTCTTATAGCTGTATTTTATTGATGAGGTTCTCATTATCCTAATAGTCTTATTTCATAATTCATGATAATCAAAAAGGAGCATTAGGAGTTCATCTTGTGAAAGGGTCTAATTCGAAATTAAGTGATCCCTCAACTAATTAGAAATTTTTTATCTATATTTGTGTCATGTAAAGTTATATATTTGTAATTTTTTATGTATTAGTTACTCTGGCAATGTTTTTTTTATTTCTTAAATAAAGCAAATATTACGTTCTTGTCATAAATCTTGAAAAATATCACGTGTAATGATGTAATATAATCGCTTGACAATTTTGTACTACATCTTAAATACATATATATTGAGCAAAAGCATTATGAATCGATACAAAAAAAAGAGAACTATGTATAATAATCTTTTTTTTCAAATGAATAGGTCTATATGAGAAAAAAGGGATTTAAATTGTTTGCAGTCATATAAAAAGGAAAATGACTGAGTCTGATAAAATACTGACCCCCAAATACCTGGATTGGCATGCCAAATTAAATGGGTTACCAAGCGTTTTAACAGATAATATTCGTACCAAATTATACAAAAGTTATAAAAAAGAAACTGGATGTGAACCATGGTAATTATCAGAAGCTGTAAACAGTGTATCAGCAAAACCTCAAGCCTTTGATTTCAAGCCTATCACTTATGAAGTCACACCCTATTCAGAATTAATTATTGAATCTGTCTTATAGCATTTCACATACCTGAAATTCTGAAATAGTTTTAGGGGGATTGATAATTATAATTTTGCATTAGCTCAGCTGTGAGACTTGCCATGCCCTATCTGTGATGGAAAACATGGGAATTATGGATTACATGGCGAATGGTATAATAATGAAACAGAATATTGTCTTACCTGCAATACTTCAAGTAATAAACTCAAGTTCGCGATCATAGAATAGTTCGATATTATTCACCCGGTGCAGTACGTATCAGAAAAAAATTTTTTTCCTTCTTATGATCCTACAGTGCCGAAAGTACAAAGGAGGGAAATGCATATGTAGTGATCATATTCTGTATCTTGATAAGACGAGCTCAGACATGGTGTCATCAGAAAAATACTATTGCATGCACCGATGCACATATTGCATTATATAATTATTGGGTCATAATCTAGAAAATTGATCATTGTGACTGTACATTGCCAAAGAAAGACTCGAATTTTTTTATTGATACATAAAATAAAATACATTATCCAGTTTCATTTGCCCAATCATCTATAAAAAATGGTCGTCAGTTATCAGTTATACTTGTACGAGACATATAAATTTATAATACTTGCATTCTGTGAGTATTACGTAAATCAGTCGCAAATAGCACCAAATTTTGGGCCTTATTTTTTGTGTAATATGTTACGAAAATTTGATCAAGTGATTACGCGAAATTAATTTCTCGTTTATAAATTATTCGTAGGATCTTTCGAATATAACGTAAAAAATAAGGTTCGTAGCTCTTTGAACTCTGGTAAAGTTTACAGTCACACGTATCCCTACTATCGTTAGGCAATACAATCCTGCGTTCAGGTATTTGGGACAGTCTCCTGGGCAATCCTTAAGCATACGTGTTTAAGACATACTTCAGCATGCTATTTTTCAGTATACAGTTGACTGTAAACATTACCACGTTGCTTTTATTAAAATGGATAAATGGCTATTGAATGCATTAATTTCTTTTTTAGATATTTGAATCTGTTGTTACAGAATATTTTGATGAAACAAAAGGCAAAGAATGGTCAATTCTCAGAATTTTAGAATTTGCGTGATTAAACTCAAGCCCTAAATTATCTGTGGCCACAATCAATGATTTTAAGGACGATCTATATATAATATTACGAAGTTATAAAAAAAAGGTAACATTCACGTACATACCAGAAACAAAGCAATAAAGATTTTACCTGATTTTAACTCATCATTCTCCACTGCCGAAGTGAAGCAATTCATTAAAGATCTTGAATATCATGAAGAAGCGTGACTTAATATTACATCCATGTATACAGTCACAGTTTTAAAGGTAAGATTTACAAAGATCGAAACTAATATTTACGATAAATATCAACTTATCAAAAATCTTTAGGATCAGCAAGAAAACCAGAAGCTTATTAATCAATTACGAGAAACGGTCAATAAACCTGATGAAGATATTTTCCAAACCACTGTATCTACTGGACAAAAGCAAAAATCATTACCAGAGGTTAGAATAATATATATAGCAATAAACTTTTGTTATAAAATTGTCGTCTTGAATTTTATAGTGAGCATTTTTAATGACTATCATTATATCCGCTCCACCTCATCAAATACAGCAGTCAAATCAAGATTTGGAAAAGGAAGTTGATATCAATTTTTCTGAAACGAGTACTGCCAACTCACAAACTTTGGATATGACAATGAATCTATGATAGAATTAGAGAGAAGAGCAAATGAAATGGTAGGTTTTCTGATTTCATTGAGTACAATCCTTCGATTCTCTAAGATATTATTGATGGCTTTGCTTACAGATCAAAAGGCTTCTATCATTTAATGACCTGGAAGAGGTATGGAAATTAGTCATGGAATGAACGTATGAGTGAAAAAAATATAAAAGTTTAGTGAGTATTTTTCTATATATGATTATGTGCAATTATTAAACTAGTAACAACATACTATCAACGTTTTTTGTAAATGACAGAGCAATAGAATCAAGAATAATCGACTTGACAAACTGGTCAAGTGTTGAGTGGTCGCAAATTCTGAAAACTGAAGATAAAGCGAAATTATTCAGAACGTGTCAGCAAAAATTATTAAAAGATCAAATCGATAAAAATGTTATTTGTTTAATTGACAATACCAGTCTGGTAATAATCCTTATATTTGTTATATTTATTATTGTACCATTTACTTAGCATATTATCATGGTATGAAAAAATGTTAATTCATAATGTTTATATTATAGAGAAATTTAAATGATTTGAAACAGTTAAAAGATAAACTATCAAACATTAGATCTGAAGATGGCAATTTATTGGCTGAAATTATTTCTTTTTTGTAAGTCACTTAATTCGCTTAATATATAATAAAATAAATACCTTAACTTCTGTTATTTTTTCTACAGTCATAAGTGTTACAGACGTGAAATAAACATATTGTCTCTCCCAACACGAGAAAGAGACTATATATTAAGAATTATGTCTTCCATCTTAACTGATCTTTTGGAAGAACATGACAGTGATCATTTCCAAACATATTGATACAATACCTCTAATATCTGATATTTTTTTTCTTCAATTGGATGTTAAATTTTTATAAATACTTAGGATCGAAAAAGAGTCTAAAGCAGTGAAAACTAGAAAAAGACGTAAAATCCATGCAGAATATGTTAAATTTGGGAATGAGTCTACTAAATTAGATGTTATTATAGAGTTACGCAATTATGGTATTGAACTGGTAACTGCAGAAGTTGGCATCACTCAAAAAGACTATGATGATTTGAAGTTTCGTGAGGATCATACAGCATTAAAAATAGAATTGAAGGACATGATAGATAACTTCTATGATGTGCTTCATTTTAAAAAGAAAGATTTAGCCAAAATCTTTGTCATGGGAATCCAAGCAACTGGTATGAAGAATATTTCGTTGTTTTTATTAGTTCATCTAAATGGATATGTGTTCACCCTTGTCTCAATGAAATTAATAGGTCAAAAGTGGACAATATATTGTCTATCATATAATTATGATGTTAATTTTTATTTTTTATCGGAAGTTACTATGTTAATTATTCCAAAGACTATGTCGGCAGTGGAAAGTTTATTGGGTCCATTCATTAAAAATCTTCTTAGGTTTAGGGTGAGTTTTTATACTATTGACATGTCCTTAACTTTTAATTTTTGCCAAGTACTAACAAATGTCTTGTATTAATATAGCATACATTATTGATGCTTAACACAAAAATTACAATAGCTCGCCAATCTACCCCTCTCCACCTTCGTCACCTCCACATCAAACCTCTGAAACCTCAAATATTGACCGAGTGAAAAATGATATTTTTACGATCTTTGATGATATTTATCAAGATTAAAGATGGAAACTGTAATTAATATGTTGCAACTTTTAATGTTGCAACTTACGTTGCAATTAGTTTTAACCTATATATGTTGCAACTTATAATGTTGCAACATATGATACAACTAATTTTAGCTTATGTTGCAACATTTTGTAAATTTGAAATCAATTGCTGTACCATCTTTAATCAAGATTAATAATCTGCGTTACTCATATTACAGTAGTATAAATGCATATGTTACAATTCGAGCAAAATTTAATATACGTTGTACTTTTAACTTATGTATGATATGATTGTATTGCGGAGTATTGCATCGGAAAATAGTGTTCATTTAACATATGATTGAAACTTTTTCTTGAAGTGATTGTCATTCTGAAACATAACGCGCATGTGATTTTTTCAGAGTTTTTATCCTACTGTAAAATAAAATAATAAGTTATTGTATATTATTTACTGCATTCTGGACATGAACAAAATAAGTGGACAAGTGATCTAACTATGGATGAAAAAGATTATGTAAGGGTCGAAATCTTAAAACGAAAGGTTTGATATAAATATACTGCACCGTTTCTTCTGCGCAATTTTGATGATCAGAAAAAAAATAATTTTTTTTTGCATGTGTATTTTATTCGCTAATTATTTTTCCAAATTCCCATTAGGCTTATCTGGCTAAAGAAAAAATCTGAAATCTGATAAGCTGATCATCTCGTGATTTATAGAAACTCGTCAGCACCTGGAACTATTGTGGAACTGGCAGTGAAGATTTCATATGATATGAGTACAGATTTAGCTGAAGACGCTGTTTGTTCAAAAGTAAAGTTTTGTTCTTGCCATTGCTGAATTAGTTGCATATGCATATAGCCAGATGTAGACCTTATATAAACTTTCGATATGCTTGTAATCAAATAAAAATGAATCTGATATTTTATTATAATATACTTGCTATAACGCTAAATATTCACTAAAAATGCTATATATCACTAAAATTGCTATAAGTTTCATAATCATCAAACATGACTAATTTGTACATAAACCTGTTAATAATCGCCCTGAATAGGATATGAACTATGTTAGTGCATATATAAGGAATTATTGTTTTGGTACCAATATTGAGAAAATAATCAAAATAGAATGGGAATATGATACATTATCAGTTGTGAAGCCAGGCCAGTCTCTAGTTGGATGGGCAATAAGTGTTAGAATTCGACTACAAGAATTATTAACCAATCAGAGATTTAGTATATATCACCGACACTGCTTGTTTGCAGGGTTTGAGAATGGTCAGATGGTTAATTCTATCTATCATCGGCCCAAAATCCATAAGAGTAATATGGCTATTTGTTTCAATTGCTGGAAATTGGTAAAGATTACTGATGTAAAACCAAAAAAGAAATATTTCGATGGATGGCGCAGATATGGATATGAGATTAAATCTGAGGACTTGATGAAATATCATTGGGATAATGAATGCTCTAAAGCTAAATCCCAAGGTATGAGTGCTTAACTTATTCAAAAAGCTTATCGAAATTACAAGAAGAGGCCGGTTTCATTAGCAAAACAAGTTTGGGAAGCAGTTAGAAATGATAATACTCCTAAAGAGAAGAAATTTCTTAAAATGCCTGTTAGAGATTATCTTTGTACTGTGAATATGAATATATGCTATTCTATTGATGGAGGATATAGATCTTATCATGTTCCGCAAAATCAACTTCATAACTATATAAGTTATTCTGAGCATAAGAGACGCCAATTGTCTGATAGACTAGTCCGTCAAGAATTAATTAAAAAACAGTTACAGCAAGAGATAACTGAGAGACGATCTCAGCAAGAATTAGCTCTCAACAAGAATTAGCTAAAAGACAATTGCAATAAGAATTGGCTGAAAGACAATCACGACAAGAATTAGCCAACAGACTTTTATGGCAACTATTATTTGCTGAAAATATCATGTCTAAGGCAAATAAGGTTCCTCCTCCTTTGTCACTAAAGCCTTTTGCATTAATTCAGCATAATGTAAGTGCGTCTGAATTGAAGTATTTCTCAAATTATAGAACACAATTTTATACTAGACCCCCTCCTCCAAAAGATCCTAGACCACGAACATGATATCTCAATTCTGTACGTAAAAATGCATAGATAATTAATATGTATAACTATTCACATTTTTTTTCTTAGTAAAGTGATCGGCAAAAATATTAATAAAAAATAGTCAATGCATATAGGCATGTGCGACAGTCGTTAAGGTGCTAAAGTATAAATAAACATGTTCCTGATCCTCGTTAAAGTCTATGAAGTGCATATATGATGTAATTGTGATATACTGCCAATCATCTGTGCAACTATCTACTTATGCGACAACATAATTTCACATCGATCCCTTCTTTGATGCAGGAGATAAACCCTAATAGCTATTCGCCCTGAAGATCTTTGATCATAGGGGATATTTCTTCCTTCTTCAATCATCCTAATCCGGACAGACAAAAAAAATATATATATATATGCATTTCTCCTAATGCCTTTCTAAATGTCAAGATCTTCAATGCATATCCCTATTCTCTAATACAAAATTTTGGCGTAAGGGTCTGTTGCATATTCTCCTGTCTCCTTCTCCAACATGAATTCAAACTCAAAGAGAATGTAAATGGAGACATTTAAAAGGGTAGTATACTAAATTTTTAGCTATGTCACTTTGCTGGAATATTTCTCATTCTTTCTCAATTTACGTTATTTCTCTAAAACCAAATTTTTTATAAATCATGTCTACTGAAATTTATAATAAGATTTACAATTTCTTAACAACTGCTGAGGAACGTCAAATAAATGCTACGTCAGTTATTTATCTTGGAATGAAAGAAAACCGCTGGATTTCCCAAACAGAGTTGAAAATGACTGTAGAACGAGCTGTGGCATCTGCTAGCAATGTATTTATGGAAGGCTCTTCTCGTCAATTAAAAATTTTCCGAATCCTACCACAGGTTAGTTAAGATTTATACAAACATTTTATCTTTTATTATTATATGATGATACTGTGTGATCGTTTACTAAAGTAAACCTGAATAAACAAGTTGTTTTTTGGTTTGTTGCTTATGTTCGACCTACCCATTCAGCTCGCTTGCCAGTAAATACTTACACGTAATAGAGGGGTGTATATGCTATAATCTGTTATGCAGTTTTGTAGTTCACCCTACCAACCTATTATGTGAAAAGGTTATTGCTATATCGAGGGGTGTGAAAATATAAGTTATTATGTTGCTTTATTAGTATCACATGAAGTTCCGTCTGCGTGATTTTCACACAAAGATGATAACTTCGCATATGCACTGATGATTGTATTATTTTTATGATAAGAACTTCTTTTTATTTCTGAAATCTAACATAATACTTTTTTTAGTTTGATATTAGTTTTGAAGGTGTTTGTACCTTATACGACATGGGGGCAATTAAAACGGATAAGGAAATTCCTTTTGGTTCAGACCAGATTGAAGATAATATAAATGATCTGAAAGAAAAGCTTAGAAAAGACACTTCGCCTCTCTATCAACAATTATATTCTAAAGTAAATGCTATATCTATTCAAAGCTTAACCTGGAAGGATCCTTTGGCCAGCCGAGTTATTAGCGATCAATCAGAAGTTGTTAAGCAGTTGTCATCAAATCTAAAAAAGGCATTTAAGGTAGGTAACCATAAATTCGTTGAAGGTTCTTTGAGAATAAATATAACATATTTTTTATATTAGAAACCTGCTCGTCAAATGACGCCTGCTCCTATGACGATAGTTAAAGAGATGTGTGAAAATTTCATAACAAGTTTTATCGATCATAACATTCAGAATACAATACCAGATAAACTAATTCACGATGGGTCCTGGAAAGAATCGGAAGAAAAAATCGCGGATGTTATAAAAGAAGTTTTAATTCTTCTGGAAGATATTTGGATTAACCCAGCTTTTAATTCTGAACTTGCGAAATCGCTAAATGAAGGAACCTATCAATCAACAGTTATTCTATTGTCTATTCGAGCAACATTAAAAAATCTTCCTTTTAGATTATCCTCATTTATCAGTACTTCAGAACGACAGAGTATTGCTAGTGCGGATAGGAAAGGCGAAGGGCAGGTAGGAAGATGACCAGATATTATGTATGTAGTAAAATATTTAGATGTTTTCTTTGAGCTTATGTATGTCGAATGTTCGCGAATATACTGTAGTCAACAGAAAAAAGATAGATGATGAGATAAAGCTATGGAGAGAAAGTAACGATGGAATGTTCTGGGTTCGCAAAGTCCTTAAACTGGAGAAAGGTCAATTTGGAATTGTTGGATTGCAAGTAGCTGAGAATATATTGCATCTGAATGTACTTATTAGAGATAAAGTAAACGTTCATAGATATTTTCATTTACAATCAGCTGAAATTCCTGTGCGATTGTCGGATGTGGGCGTTGTAACTAAATTTGTGGAAACCCTTTTACTTTTACGAAACATATTAATTACAAATTTGTTTCTACTATATCACGCATCTATTTTCATATCAGAAAGATAAAAAGAAGATAGTACTACAGTTTCTACTCCAATGCGAGACGATTAGAGTTTCTTTTTTCTGTATTTTTTTCATGTATTATTATTTTTTCTGTATCAATAAAGTGACCCTGGTAGTCGATTTCGCAAATATATATTTATTTTTTTCAGAAACGAGATTAGCAAATTAATAGACATCAGAATTACCATATTTGTTCCATGTTTTTGCGATGATCATAGCCTTAACTGCGGAAGAATAGTATTACGCAATTTCGCGGTAATAGCACAGTATTGGTATTGTATTTTTTTTCAGATCTAATAGTAATATATATTATTCGATGTGGTATTAGCGCGGTAATTCTTTTGGACTTATCATGACGTATTTTTATCTAGCTAATAGGTCTTACTTTCACATGATTTTGATCCCGGGTTTGGAAAATTTTCTGAAATCTAGGCCTCGGCAAATTTTTAACCAATTTTCAGGTGGAAAGTTATGCCAGAAATAAATGAAATACCCAAATTTTGGTAAAAATATGAAATTTCTGAACTTTTTGAATTTTTTTTTTTCAAGATTATATTATCTTACTGAAGGTGTTAAATCATAATCAATCATATGACCAACCAACCACATTTCAACGAACACTATAAGACTTTACTTGACCAATTACCCTATTCCTTAAAAAAAGAAGCATGGTTACGTCTTACAACCCGCAAAAATAATCCACTATCTGAGGAACAGGCTAGAGGAATTCATTCTGATATAGAGGAGTTGCTCACTAGTA